CAACCCTGGAGCAGCAGCTGCTGCCTGTAGAACAGCAGCTGGCTCCGCAGCCCCTCATTGCGCCGTTCCAGGTCCCACACCCGCTCCTGCAGCTCCTCCAGGGATGCCTCCCGCTCCAGCTCCCGGCCCGACCACCTGGCCCTGCTGCCCGGCTTGCTCATGGGTAAGTCTCAGCAGCTTGCTGCCTAGCCTGGAGAGGAAGAACAGGTAATGAACCCAGGGTTAATCCAGCTGCCTCATCCCTGCACACATGCTGTCACTGCCCTGTCTTACCCACCCCCTGTGCGTCCCTGAGCCTGTCTGCGTCTGGGGAAGTCCAGCCTCCCCCAGGGGCGTGGGGAGTGAATGAGGCTAACTCCAGATACACACCCATACTCCCTGTGAAATCCCTGCATACGCTACCCTGCCCCAGCCTGACTAGGATCCCAGCAGGGACAGAGCTGATGGGAGAGTACCTCTTGATCCTGTCCTCCTGTTTACAGGCAAATTCCTTCAGCACCAGGTTCTCATCATGTAGACGCAGAAACCCATCCTCCAGCTCGGCCTGGCTCATCTGGCTCACTTGCTGCCGCGTCCATGCCACTGATGCTGAAAGCAGGGAATGAGGAGCCAGGGGCTGGCACGGACAAGGCCCTATGGGGACTGATGGCCAGAAAGGGCAAGTGGCTCAATTGAGCGGGGCTGGGATCAAGAACTCCTATCTGTAAAATCATGACCGGTGTGGAAAAAGCGAATAAGGAAAAGTGATTTACTTGTTCCCGTAATGTAAGAACTAGGGGCCCACCCAATGAAATTAATAGGTAGCAAATTTTAAACAAACAAAAGGAAGTATTTCTTCACGCAACACACAGTCAACCTGTGAAACTCCTCGCCGGAGGATGTTGTGAAGACAAGGACTTTCATGGGGTTCAGATGTTAAATTCATGGAGAACAAGTCCATCAATGGCTATTAGCCAGGATGGGCAGGGATGGTGCTCCTAGCTGCTGTTTGTCAGAAGCTGGGAATGGATGACAGGGGAGGGATCATTTGACACCCTGTTTCTTTTCATTCCCTTTGGGGCTCTGTCAGAAGACAAGATGCTGGGCTAGATGGACCTTTGTCCTGACCTGTATGGCCATTCCTGTGTTCTTATGTTCTGAGTTCTGGGAAGAGTGGGACCTTGTGGGGCAGAGTCTCTGCAATTAAAAGAAAGGAACTTGTGGGGCACCAGAAGAATGGGTGACCTACCGCACAAGGCAGAGTCCAAGAGCAACGTGCTTATTGAGCACCACCAGGGACAGGGCTATGACACAGCTCAGAGAGTGAGAGCAGGACCCAGTGAAATGTTATTGGATTTTTAATATAAACATGCAGAACATTGTTGCGCTCACTGTTGTGTGCTTGTCCCAAATGTTGTACGAAGTGGGTCATGTGAGGTGTCTATTGAAAGCTTATGCTTTGCTGATTCTGTTTATGCTATTCATATGCCTGTCTGATTTTTGTATTTGAAGTTATGAGTATTGGCTCTGTATTTGTATTTCAAACATTTGTTTCCTGGAGATTATCAACTGGCCACACCCATCAATTGTGAACTGGGAGAGGGCTGGAGTGGTGGAGCCTGCAGGAATTGGCAGGAATTAGCCAATTAGGGTCCAGCTGAGGGCAGTATAAATAAAGGCTCCTGGAAGGGAGGCACAACACAGGCTCACTCTTGCTCTAACTGGGGGTAGGTGGGACCTAGCTGCTAGGTCAGCTAGAGGCTTCCTGACTTATGGCAGGGCTGGGGAAGCTGTGGCTGGGCAAGCACCCAGGCTACAGGACTTGAAGCAAGAGAGGCAGTCAGGGCAGGCAAAGGCAGCAGGTCCGCTGTGTGGCCATGTCAGCCTGCAGTTTACCCATGTGGCGGGGCGAGGGAAAGACTGACAGCGGGTCAGTGAGGCACAGTGGGGGATGAAGGTTCCCAGAGAGTGAGGAACACTGCAGTAGGGCAGTACCCAGAGGGGAGGGATGTGGGTCCTAACAGAAAGTGGTGGAGATAGTGGCTAGAAAGGAGTGCTCCAGAGCTGCAAAGCTTGCTCCCAGAGTCTTGCAGGAGGCACCCACAGTGGTGAGTGCCCATCCCATGACTCCTTCCTTCTTTCCTTCCATAACCCGTTAGAGTCTAAAGGATTGACACAGTGGGCTCTTCTGGGTAAGAGCTGAGGTATAAACTGACCTGGGAATGTGGCTGGTCCTTTGGGATCAAAAGAACCTGTTTGGATTTGGTGAGACTGGAACCTCTCCGTGTAAGGTGTGGTACTGGTTGTGGAACATAAGAATGGCCGTACTGGGTCAGACCAAAGGTCCATCTAGCCCAGTAGCCTGTCTTCTGTCAGTGGCCAGTACCAGGTGCCCCAGAAAGGGTGGACTGAAGACAATGATCAAGCGATTTGTCTCCTGCCATCCTTCTCCAGCCTCTGACAAACAGAGGCCAGGGACACCATTTCTATCCCCTGGCTAATAGCCTTTTATGGATCTAACCTCCATTAAATTATCTAGCTTCTCTTTAAACTCTGTGGCTACGTCTACACTGGCATGATTTTCTGGAAATGCTTTTAACGGAAAAGTTTTCGGAAAAGAGCGTCTAGATTGGCAGGACGCTTTTCTGCAAAAGCACTTTTTGCAGAAAAGCGTCCGTGGCCAATCTAGACGCACTTTTCCACAAAAAAGTCCGATCGCCATTTTGGCTGGCCCTTTTGCGCAACCGTCTTTTGGAAAAAGACTTTTGCCCAAACGGGAGCAGCATAGTTTTTCTGCAAAAGCACTGACAATCTTACATGAGATCGTCAGTGCTTTTGCGGAAATTCAAACGGCCAGTGTAGACAGCTGGCAAGTTTTTCCGTAAAAGCAGATGATTTTGCGGAAAAACTTGCCAGTCTAGACAAAGCCTGTTATAGTCCTTGCCTTCACAGCCTCCTCTGGCAAGGAGTTCCACAGGTTGACTACACGCTGAGTGAAGAACTTTCTTTTACTAGTTTTAAACCTGCTACCCATTAATTTCATTTGGTGTCCTCTAGTTCTTCTATTATGGGAACTAATAAATAACTTTTCTTTATCTGCCCTCTCCACACCACTCATGATTTTATATACCTCTATCATATCCCCCCTCAGTCTCCTCTTTTCTAATCTGAAAAGTCCCAGTCGCTTTAACCTCTCTTCATATGGGACCCGTTCCAAACCCCTAATCATTTTAGTTGCCCTTTTCTGAACCCTTTCCAAGGCCAAAATATCTTTTTTGAGGTGAGGAGACCACATCTATACACAGCATTCAAGATGTGGCAGTACCATAGTTTTATACAGGGGCAGTAAGATATTCTGGGTCTTATTTTCTATCCCTTTCTTAATAATTCTTAGCATCCTATTTGCCTTTTTGACCGCCGCTGCACACTGCGTGGAAGTTTTCAGAGAACTATCCACGATACCTCCAAGATCTCTTTCCTGATTTGTCGTAGCCAAACTAGCCCCCATCATACTGTACATATAGTTGGGGTTATTTTTCCCAATGTGCATGACTTTACACTTATCCACATTAATTTTCATTTGCCATTTTGTTGCCCAATTGTACAGGAGAAGCTGGAGCATTTGTTGGAATTGCTTGTCTGATATCTTGCTGGCCACATTGGCAGCTGAAGTATTTTTTCAGACTGGGCTGGTGCCTTATGGTGAAGAACCCCCAGTCCTGAACTGTAAGTAGCCCTGTTTTCTAAGCAATTCTCCCTGGTTTGACTCTCAGCAGTGCCCCTAAACCCCTTCATGTGACACCTGCCCTGCTGGAAGACATGGTCTAGATGGTGCTTGCTCCTGCTGTGAGGGCAGGGGACTGGACTTGATGACGTCTCGAGGTCCCTTCCAGTTCTGGGGCAGCTGCGGTTGCTGCTAGA